CTTTGGACGGTGCTGCTCCATCGTTGCAACAGTGGGGCGCTCGGTCCAAGGGAATACACCTTCCCTCGATTTGATTTGACGGACGAAGTGGTAGTCACCCGGATAATAAGAGAAGGGTGCGATCTTCCGGATACGAGCACTGGGCGGCTGGGCGTGCATCTCGGCATTTGCCCCATCGTGCGCCAACGCAATGTGACTTGTCCGCCGCTACCGCGGCTTCGCTGACAGCCGCGCCCGGGTCCGTGCGCCGTGCAGCCTCGCGCCTGTCGCGTCGACCGAGCCGCGCACGATCGTCGTCGAGAAAGGCCATCCGCAGCATCGTCGGCTTCAGAAGCGCGTCTGGTACGTCGTCCGCCCAGCCGTCGACTTAGATGACTCATGCGCTCTCTTGTAGGACGACAACGCGCATCGCGATCGCAGGACGTCAGGAGTTTGTATCGACATCAATCCAAATCCGATGAAACGGGATCCTTGGTATGTCAATTGCGGGCTTGAGTTTTGCACGAAATGCTTCAACTGGCTGACTAGGAATGTCCACGCAACGCATGACGCGAAGCCGATCGGTGCACCGGCATCAGCCCGCCGCACCTGGCAAGACGGCGGACGACGAGACGAAGCTCGAGTTCGATGCCCTTGTGGCATCCATCATGTCGTGGTTCAAGGAGCGACACGAGAAGGTGCCAGTCCACGCCTTTGCTGCGCTGGCCGTGCGCGAACGGCAAGGCCCAGCGTCCAAGTGGCCGGCGAAGGAGCAGATCGCGTTCGCAGCGCTCCAGGCGCTTGACAAGGACGACGACGATGGCACATGGTCGCTGCTCCGGACCTTCTCGGGTGACGGCGACGAGAAGGTGTTCAGCAACTCGTACGTCTTCAATACCTCACATGTCTTTTATCATCGAGATGCATAGCTTTTGGCACCGCCCGACGACGCGTCCACCGAAAGGCTGGGAACGCAGACAAGTTGTACGACCTTGATATGTCGGACGACCTCTTCAGTGCGTTGTAGGCTCAAGGAGAAGGCCGCTGCGACTGCCGAGAAGAAGCGCCGCTCCGACGACCAAGCGACACCGTACGTAGACGATATCGAACGGAAGCAACAAGATGGCATGTATAGGCACAAAGGGGCCAAAAAAGCCAAGCCCGCGGCCGCCGCCACGTCGCCACCCGCCACCAACGAGGCGGTGCTCTCGCTCCAGCGCTTCGTTGCGATGGAGCTCCGATTGGTCGCTGCCATTGACAACAAGGTGACGGCGGCCATGAGCGAGCTTCAAGACAAGGTGCTCGCCGCGATGCACCAGCAAGGCGCCCAGTTGCACCAGCAAGGCGCCGCGATCAACGCCAGCGTCGACAAGCTGTGTTCGACGCTGCCGAACGAATTCCGCAGCTTGCGCCAAGGCCAACTTTCGCTCGCCGAGCATGTGACGACGGAGCGCGTCGCGATGGCCGCGACAATGCAAATGGGACGTGTGATGTATCTATCTACTTTTGCCACTAACGACCCACGTGATTCGTAGAAGGAGATCCAAGAACCGATTATTTCGGCGTCCGACGTCCGGCTCACAGAAGCAATGCTCGATGCTCGACGGCAAGCCGGCGCCCAAGGCGTTTCGGGGCGCGGTGTACGTGTACATCATGGACCGCTTTGTCAAGAAGCCGATTCTGTAGGACCCTCCGGAATCTACCCGTCTGCGCTGGCGGCGGGGTCGTGGGTCGACGCGTGGCGCGTGCGCGTCGGCAGCATGATGCAAAGGTGCCTTCCCATTGCGTCGTTTGCGATGGCTGCGACCATCACAGGACAGGACTCGTCAAGGAAGGCGTCGTGTCGGCCGCCTCGGCGGTTGTGATCTCGGTCGAGACCCTGTCTAGCTGGATCATGCCGGCGCCCTCTGCCCAAGACGCTCAAGATGGCCTCCGCATAGCATCCTCGACATGCACGTCACCGAGTCGCACTGAGTACGCTTCGGGTCGCACATGTTGAGGATGTAGGCAATTCGAGGGCCATCTCGAGCATCTTGGGAAGGGCGCCAGCGTTATCCAGCTGGACATGGTCTCGACCGAGTCCCGTGAAGGTCACCGCCGTCGCAAGGCGCTCATGACGGCCACCGTCCGCAACTACGTCCACCTCGCGCACATTAACTTCCGATAATCGCGGTATATGTATGTTTATGATGAGTCTTCGTGTTGCATATGGCACCTCGCACAACTTGGGCAGGCGAGTCGTATGAGTGCAGCAATTTCAGAGGTACATGCAGAAAGCATCACTGCATCGCACACCACAACGATCGTCCCTTTGTCCGCGTAGCAGTACGTATGGGATGGCAGACTACAGTTTGTATTCTGGGAGCTGCACGGGCTCATGAGCTGCAATCTCAGTGCTGAATCAAGAAATTTTGGTTGCAAAAGCAGCTTACTAATATATCTATGGACATCGACAGCCTCTTGCACACCATTCCACCGCGCCTGACGCGGAAAAGCGCCACCGCAGCGTGGCGGCGCCGTGGTCATCATCAAAGGGTACGCTTCCTCTTGGTCGGTGTGCGCACCAGTGTGCTGACGCTAACGTTTGATCGATCTGTGACGCGGCTCTTCTCGTGCTTGGGCACGTATCGGCGCGCTTGGACTGGTGCCGGTGCTAGAGCGATGGGCATACATTGTACATCGCTGAGACACAACTTGGTGCTGGGCAACGTGCAGCAGTACGAGCTGTCATTGTTGCTTTACATGCACAAGTTGATGCGACAGAATGTACGAATTCCTTGTTCCATGGCTCTCACGTGCCACAAGCGTCGTAGGGCGACGACAGAAGAGCCAGACGAGCCCCCGCGCCGCCGCCTGCGCAGCCACGGACCGGCGAGCGAATGAAGAAGAAGGAGATTGCTAGTCTATCGTATGCGAAGTCTTTGTGTAACTATGAAGATAACGCGAAACACGTTCATATATATATGGCTCTCACGTGGTGTGACTGAACGGTTGACCACATGGCGGCTCCGTTTGCCACTCATGCCATACGTGGACACGGGAAAGGATGCGAAAGTGGTAAACGCATTGTTGATGTTTCTCCATCGCACTGGCTTGGATGCCCCTCCCAACGGTGTTTTTTGTTGCTCTCCAGTACAAGCCAACGTATCGATGTCCCATCTCTGAACGACGAGTTGTATCACGACACCACGTCGAGTTTTACTACTGCTCCGTCTGCGCTGTGTCGGTGTGCGTCAAGTGCGAGATAGTCGGTGACCATTCGTGCGGCGAGAAGGGGCTCCAACGCCTCATCAGTATCCCGGACGCGTACGAGCAGAGCTTG